TCTTTCATGGGCTGTCTTTCCATCTGTATCTATCGTGAACTTGTTAATCAAAGAAGACGCATGACTTACCATCCATGGTATAATCGCATGGCTTTCACTAAACTCGGTCTCGTAATTGGCATCCAAGGCGCTCTTTAATGTCCTGACTTGTCCTTGCACCGTTCTAACAGCTCTCTCAATTTCACCGTTGGCCTTTGAATCGCCTACAGGGCTGACTTCAACACCCATGTCAAGGTCACTCGACGCTTTAATCATGTTGGCCAGCGCCGTAATTGCCGCTTCTCCATCACTTTAAGTATAACCTTCTTATGTCCGGTAAAGCCGATCATGTCACATCCCACTTTTACTGAGTATGGACCCACCCCTTTCTTCAACAACACTCGGCTCCACGTTAACTTGGTTCCCCTGCAATGCATGGCCAGAATTGGGTTACCATTGTTCGCACTTTCGCCTTCTTCCTTTCTTCCTTTAAGCCACATGTAATCCATTGAAATTACTGGTACACCTCCGTTCCTTTTCCTTTTACGTCTCCTGCGATTGCGCCTGCGCGCCTTGCCCCTAACGCAATGTGGGCACCAACTTCGGTAAGGCAAATGCGTTGCATTGTGCGCCTCAACTTCCTCCTTTGACGGTCTCATGTCACAGTGAACTTTCTTCGGTCACTCTGCTTCGTCACTCACAAACACGTCTTCTACGTCACTCAACTCACTTTCGCTGCCCCCACTTTCAGCCTCTTCGCCTTCTTCGGTGTTAAAGACGTTTAAGTTTTCACTTGGTCTTACGGGTAATGAGGGGCTTAGTAGAACAGGTCCGCCTCGAGGGTTCCCGGCCGCGGAAAACCCCCAGCTGCGTTTACCTCACTCTTGGGCTTGACAGCTTCCACCGGTCCCTTCGGCACCATGATGTTAAACTGGAACGTGCCGTTCTTCTCGTGGATGGTCGTACATTCACCCGTGGCCTTATTGATAATATGACTCAGGGATTTCCCGTTAAGGTCCTTGTCAAATACAACTCTGTTTCCAGTGTTTACCATCTCTCTGACAGATCCCAGAACTTTGTTGACTTCCGCCACTTGAATTGGCATGCTGACTGAGTTTCCATGTTCATTCTTGCCGGTTACTACTCGCTGCCCGTAATTCTTTATCGTCGTTCCGTTTGCCGCGCTGTAGTGTCTTCCCTGCTTTGACGCATCTGTCTGTTGAATGGGGAAGTAGGTGCCTATTCTTGGGGGTCCTACCGTGTTGTACGCTCCAGAGCCCACGGTAACCACGATTGTTTCGTGCGTTGTACTCTGAGGTGGCACCGCGTTAATTTACGGGTCACAGTCTCGCATTTCGATGAACCCAATTTCTCCACACTTCTCAAACCAATTCTTTTCCTGCTTTATGCTTTTACTTATCCTCTGGCCCCACTGATTCACATGATTGCAGTTCCCGTTGCACTGATGCTCCTGGTAAGCTTTTCTCAGGTCCACTGAGATTTTACGCGCCATTTTCTTTCTGGAATGTGAGGGCAGTGCCCATTGCCCGTTAATCTCCTCAGCCGTGGGCGGTTCCGGTGGCACGTTCACTTCATCATTCATCTCAACACTGAGCACATGCTGCGGTTGGCCAAACGAGGTGGTTTGTTCACTTTCCGCGTTTACCGTTGGTCTCTCTTGCTCAACTTCGTTGGCGGTCTTCTTGGGGCCTGGGCAGTTAACTGCAATGTGCCCTTTAGCGCCACACATGTAACATTCACGCTCGCTGTGGGGGGTAAATCTCCCTTGGCCACCGTAACTTCCACCCCGCGAGCCGCCACCTTTACCACCTTGTTTACCTCCAATCTTACCTTTCATGTAAGATCCATAGGTGGCACGGTAACCTTTGCCTTTGCCGCCTTTGCCAACTTTGCCTACTTTCGTGAACTGTTTAGGCTTTGTGCAGTTCCTGACTAAATGACCCATGCCTCCGCAATTGTAACATTTGGGACCTGAGCCTTTGCCTTTACCCTTGTTTACGGCGTCAACTTCCTCATGATCTCCAGTTTCACTTTCATTGGCCCAGGACCCGTAACTCCAAGATCCGTCCTCTGGCCACCAGTTTCCATCTTCGTCGACCCATCCTGTCTGATCTCAGACATTTTCGGACCCTTGACTCGTCTCGTTAATATTTCCAATGCCCATCGCATCTTTATTTTTGGTGTCTGAGTCAAGTTTCTTTTTACGCGCCCAATCTTCACACTTGGAGTATAACTTTTGGAACGAATCAATGTTAAGTGCGCCAGGCGTTCGCCGGCGCGCCTGCTGCCACTCGTCAAACCAATCATTCGCGTGCACCATTATTGCCCTGAGCGCGGTAACCTTAAAGGGGAGGGGCAATGAATAATATTTGCCATACTTTTCAAGATTCTCCGCTAACGCGCCCCACTCCTCAAGTCGGGCATCGGTATCGGTAATTTTCTTGGGCGGCTCAGGGTTCATAGCGTGCGTCATCTTTGAGGAAAGTGTCGCTCCGGTAACAGCCGAGTACCATTTGTAAACCTTTTGCCGAGCCATAATTCCGTCACCATCCATGAGTCCCTATAATTTTCCATTGCTTCTGCACCTTCAAGCTTTTCGCTAAGGATGTGCCATAAGTCTTCCTCCATTTGAGTTTTGTCTCCCTCGGTAAACTCATAATCTCCTTTGTTGTCATCCTCTGCTTGTTTAGCTTGGTTTGCCTTTAAGTGTTCGCTGGCTGTTAACCGACCGTTCATTATGCGTATGATATCATCGTCATCTTCCTCTGGGACAACTCCGTCAAGTGTCTCCAACTTCTTGTTCAACATTTTCAATGCCGGTCGGTAACTCGGTTTTACTTGGGCAAGCGCGTTTAAGAACTTGTCGTTCCAGTCTCTGAACTTTGCTCTTTCTCCACTGAAATTCTTTAACGCCTGTAATGCTTTGTACTCGCTTATCGGTTTACCGCTCCCGTGCTTACTTCCGCTTCCGCCTTTGATTGCTTCCGAAAGCTGACCAAACTTTTCAATTAACTTCTCTTGTGCTTCGCTGTTGGTCTCCAACTCGGTAACTCTTTCTACCAATCTGCGAGCATCCCTTTCAAGCGCAGCGTTTCTCTTCGTTATCGCTAACAACATGCTGTTGGTCTTCTGAGCACTCTGTAACATTTGAAATGCCTCAACGTTCGATACATCCCTTCGGTCCTGTGTTACTCGCTCGATAATGAACGTCGCAAGTCCATAATGATTTGCAAGTAACGCCGTCTGAACGTAACTGAAGTCCCCGTTCAGGTACGCCTGCTCGCACAGGTCGCTGAAGCGGTTAGGGTCCATGTTGACACATGCATCTCTGTCCGCCGGAACGTTAAGGTTGACCGGCGGGTCGCCCTGCGCGGGCCTAGCTGCAGCGGCCGCCGCCGCCGCCATGGCAACCGCGCTCCGCTACCATGCAAAACCCCGAGGAGGGTTCTGCACGGGAGCTCGGTGACAGCGATGACGATCGGTCACCTTGTTACCTCAGCACGGCGAAGCAAGTCTCGGTAGCTTCAGCCGTTAAATACTTGAGCCAAACGGTAACGGGGACACCTTCACTCCCCAGTCACCTGAATGCTCACATGTTAACACGTCCTCCTCCTCCTCCTCCTCCTCCTCCTCCTCTCCTCCTCCTCCTCCCTCCTCCTCCTCCTCCTCCTCCTCCTCCCTCCTCCTCCTCCTCCTCCTCCTCCTCCTCCTCCTCCTCCTCCTCCTCCTCCTCCTCCTCCCTCCTCCTCCTCCTCCTCCTCCTCCTCCTCCTCCTCCTCCTCCTCCTCCTCCTCCTCCTCCTCCTCCTCCTCCTCCCTCCTCCTCCCTCCTCCCTCCTCCTCCTCCTCCTCCTCTCCTCTCCTCCTCTCCTCCTCCTCCTCCTCCTCCTCCTCCCTCTCCTCCTCCTCCTCCTCTCCTCCTCCTCCTCCTCCTCCTCCCTCCTCCTCCTCCTCCTCCTCCTCCCCCTCCTCCTCTCGGTTCACTCCTCACCTCCTTCTTGGTGACGTTCGCAATTGTCTTTCGTTTTTTACGGGTTTGGCACAAACCCTGAGGAACGGGAGGACCTACCACCCCCATGGTCCAAACAAAGAAACCAGGATGCCAACACACAAGAAGGACGGTGGCCAGCCGTATTGCACGATGACCGTCGACATGAACATCGCCTTGTACCTGCTGACGGGATGGGGCAAGTGGGAGCCCGAGCGCTGCTGTGATTTAACCTCGGCGCCCTCCAACCCGAAAGGGGGATAGGCGCTGCCCTGTGCGTCTCCCCCGCAGCTCTCACTGGGGCGCTCTCGCGCCGGTGGCCGCCGGCCCTTGGCAAATGATGCACAACACCAGAATGGGGCTGTGAGCACAAGAGTGGGCCCAGAAGCACCCGTGCTCACCCCTCCACCGTAGAGGAGTCCACCACGTACCTTTCCATCGAAGCCCCAGCCAGCGGTTTGGAACCTCGATCTGGTGCCCTCCAGTCCTGCTCGCTGCCGCGGTCCCCACCTGCGGCGCGGGCGGTTGGCCCACTGGATCTCGGGGGCCTGGTAGTGGCCAAGGTTAGGTCGGGCATGTCCTCCTACAGGCGGATTTTGGGCGGAAACTGAAATAGTTAAAACATACATCAAAATAGACAGAAATAGTGAGAGAATCGTCCCCACACTATTGTTCGACTATTTTTGAACATTCCTCCTGTAGAGGGACACGCCGAACTCAATGGTAGAGGCCAAGGGGCCGCTGCGCCATCTCAGTGATGAGGCGTCCCACAAAGAAGCGCCAGCACATGACACAACAGAGCAGCAGACCTGTGTGTATAAGAAACTCCGTCGTATGCTGGCCCTTTTCACGAAAGGCCCCACTCGCAGGCCAGGAAATAGCTGGGAAATACTCATTATCCTGTTCCTCCTCCTCCTCCTCCTCTTCCTCTTCCTCCGTTTCCTCACCCTCCTCCTCCTTTTCCTCCTCCGTCTCGTCCGCCTCCTCCTCCTGGGGATGGCGCTGACCGACGATGGCGTTGCACTCAAGGACACGGACTCGCCGACACGTCTGCACCATCACACCGCTGGGCTGCCAACTGGCAAAGGCGGGAGGCCTGCGGCGCATCCTATACGGCGCGAGCACCCGGAGCACTGGCATCCTGGGCCGCGCCGACCTCCTACTGCAGGGCAGCCACGCCCGCCGTGGGAGCGCCGAGCTTCGTCCTGTACGCCGCGTCCTGCTGCTCCAGGATCTGCAACTCCATCCTTCGGGCAGGCGCTGACATCAAATCCGAATTTCGAGCCAAGGATCTGGCCCGCGGGCGCAAGACGCACGGATCGTGGAAAGTACCCCGCGGGGCATGACGCCAGTGCCGCCCGGTCTGGCGACGGAGCGAACCGACTTGGCATGGACGAGGGAACCGTCAGTATGCGGGGCGGGGCTTCAGCCATATCCACTGCCTGGGGACCAGAGTGCGGGGCTGAGGTCTCCTGAGGCCTGGACCAGTACAACTTTCCAATGACAAAACGTATAGTTTAACTTGCTGCATCCAGGTGAAAATATTACCGTGCGCGTGAGGGGGCTACAAAAAAAAACCCTTTTACCGTCCCCTCCCAGGGTTATCAAACTTCTCCTGGGGTCCCAGAGTACTTACAAATACAGTTGACCTCAAAGACAGCTGACACGGACGCCAAGACGGTCCCAAGACGCCTCCAGGACGGCTAAGATGGCCCCAGCAGAGCCCAAGATGGTCCCAATATGTCTCCAAGGCGGCCCTGGCACAGGAAGCCCCCCAGAGGGTTCCAAGAGGACCTCGAGCAGGCCATAATCACTGATGTCCCTCAAGTGCGTCAATGAGTTTAGCGTTCTCGCCGTTTCGGGTTTCCGACGCCCCAAGACGGCCCGAGAGTTTGAAAATGAGTTGGGAGGCCCAACTAGCAGCTTCGCCTTAGGCGAAGCCCCGCTCCCGCTCTGTTGTACCGTAGTAACGATAGTCCCAGTAGTAGGGGGCGAGCCATCTCAAGCAGCATTTTGCTACCGATGGCAAATCGCATACCTCGCGTTGAGGTGTAATCAGATCTGGGCGGCCGGCCGCTTTGAGCCAAGCAGCCGCAGATGCACGCTCGTTCCCACTCAATGCAACGCCCAGCTCACTTTAGAGTCGGGGGGGAGGAGACGAGGCGTGAACCCGCTGCCTCTGTACAACAGATACAGCAGCGACTATCTACAGAAGGGCAGCAAAAGGGAGGGGTCGTAAGGAAGGTGGACCCGCACGCAAGTTGTCTTGCCTGTACTATTCTGTGCATACAGATACTCCTCAGGCTGCCACAGAACGGGATGTCTGGCCAGCCCGATAGGGAGCATGCCTCAGCAGTCTATGCCCCCATGACCTGTAGAAGCATCTCTCTGTCGATGCTCCACTTGGTGTGACCATCCGCAGTCATATCGCGGGTGTCGCACCACTGAATACTGTGCACGTTTCCTCGCTCCATCATCTGTCGTATCCAGTTGATGTGTCCTAAAAGGGTACGCTCACTCGGCTTCTTCGAAACTTTGCTTGACCAAGGACTCACAAACAGACTGAGCATCTATGGTCACAGTGACCTCGATGCTCATGCCACCCAACTCAAGCATATCTTTCAATCGAGTGGGAGTTAGCGGCCCTGCGTGGAGCTCATGCAGAGTCACGATCGTGGGATGACAGTCCTCCAAGTTGTGGGCAGCTGCTAGTGTCTCTGCTGAGTAGCTCGAGCGGGCCTGCGAGCGGCAAGACTTGCCTGCAGTGCGCATCGATCAAATGGACGACGGGCTTACCAGATGGCATGTTTCCACGCCGTGGCAGGTTTGCCACGCGAATACCAAAGCCTTCGACTCCGCCATCGGCGTCTCCACTCAGGCGTCGGTAACCTGAGTCAATGCGCAGGTCGACACCGCCCGTAGGGGTCATCGCTTGGTAGACGATCTTCGTAGGACAGGCCTGCAGATTCCTGGCGATCGCGCTCAGTCGCCGCACTTGTTCATCGGTCGGTCCTTGAACGCGCTGTAGAGAAACGACATGCACATCAACCACACCTGGGTGATTCATGCATGCACCAGCGCGCCTCTGAGGCTGACGAACATGTCTGCGACCATCTTGGATGCCTGTGCGCCAGCGTCGGCGCCGGTAAGTTCAGGGTGTTGTATAGGACGGAGCTGCTTGATGTATTAGTCTAGGTCCAAAGTATCATTGCCGCCCCCATCCTTGGTACGCATCACAGCACAATTGGTGAACGTGAGCTTGTTGAGTTCACACTTACCAAAGGTGTATTCTGCGCACTTGGCACACTTGTCCATGGTGTCCTCAGTGCCGGCCATGTATCATCGACGTGCTTGGCCGCAAGCAGGTTGCTGCTCGTCTCGAACCCCTCGTCGTAGGACGTGGGTCGGCGACCAAAGCCTCTCGTGGTCCTTCCGGGCTTTGATGGGGAAGCTCGGGGGGCGTCTTCGGCGCCAGTGCCTGGTTTAAGGCACTGCAAGCAGTGCTTTGACTCGTCGTAGCGTTCGAATCCTGGGAGAGTTCGAAGCGCCGTGGCCGATCCAGGCAGCAAAGTAAAACAAGCCACGCGACCAGTTGCCTCAGCACGTTCCCGGTAGGTCAACCCTTTCAGGAAGGCCATGTTGATGCCGAGGGAGGCAATGATCAATTGCTTCTTGCGCGCTGCCGTGCTCGCGAGTAGTCTCTGGCTTGGCCGCCGCGCTGTGCCCGCAGAGGTTTCCACGTCAAAGGCGTCAAGGTCCATGGAGCCTCGAAACACCAGGCGCAATCTGATGGCACGCGCCAGTTCGCCCTTCTCGTTCTTCACAAACTTCCATTTGCACGCATACCTCGAAGTCACGATGGCTGACGCTTTAGATATGTCTTGCATTTTGAAACACTTGTTTTGAAACCGTGTCTTAAGCTCGGTGTAGAGGGCATTCGGTGCATGCTCGGGATTCGCCTGGACGTCAGCCTTCGCGAGGAGGTCGTCTTCCTTGACGACCGCGGCACGCTTTGCATCGGCGGTAACATATACTCGCATGGTGGTCACACGGTCGGGGTCTAATATCCCGCGCTGCTGTTCGGACAGAACTAACTTTGACATTTTGCCGTAGAGCAGGAGTTCTACAGATAGTCCATTTTCGTCTGGGTCCAGCCCGCAACTGCAATCTTCGACCATGGAGCACGGTGGGATATGATACATCCTCGGTGTCGGAGTCGCGTGGGTGCCCCCACTTAGGCAGGTGTCCCCGCTGTTATTCAGCTACAGTGATCAGCGCACTATTGTCTGGAATCGTATGTGTGCGCTTTGTGAAAAGATCCTCGGGTGGAGTTGCCTCCAGTAGTTCCTTTTTCATCTTGTGGTTCTGCATGCCACACTTCCATGACGTGTGCCTCGAGGTCAGCCTCCGATTCCTCTTAAATCGTAGGAAGCCGTCCATCCCCCTGTGGCGGTTCACCTTCTGAAGCTTCTCTTGCAGTTTCATATGATGTCGGTGCGTCCGCCAATTCCTCAAACTTTGCCACATCCTGGTCGAAGCCTGCTCGAGGTTTGGTGGACTTCATGCACTGGGTGATTCTAAAATGTGTTGATCCAATTGTAACGTAAAATCTAGGAGCGTAGCCTTCTGCTTCATAATCGTGAAATCCTGGCCTCAAATCGTTGTCATAATGGACATATGTGCAACTGTCAGCGTAAGCAACCGGAGGTTGCTCATGGACACCCTCGGCTAACCTGACCGAGACTACGTTCTCAGTGCGACAGACGTGTCTGATAAGGTACTGTATAGTTAGATGTACCTTAGGAGATAGTCGGCTTGCACTTGTCATCCGAAGCATCCCCTACTTGGTCGGTATATAGCCAAATGTCATAGCAGCCCCCCCCCGCAGGTAAACTGGCCACGAACGTCAAAGCTGTCCGTAGTGCAGCGCTGTCGGAGTCAATTTCTCTGGCTATCAAAGCTTCAATATAGAGTGAACGTCGTGCATCGCCGTATTGTACCTGAACGTCGCGGTTCCCCACTGGAATGATGACTTGACCCCTGTCGGGATCGTTTCATAACTGGGAATGGGCCATTCCAGCCTCCCCAGTCGTCCTTCGTGGTTGTGGGGCGATGGTAATCAACTACATCTCCTTCGTCGTAGTAATGCTGACCGGTAGCAATCTTTTTAATGCGTAATGCACGATTGGTCTTGGCTACAACAGTGGCCTGTGTGATGACTTCAATGCACACCTTGCGTATCATCTGTTCACGAGAATGACCCAACGTTTCCGTCGGCTGTTCGTGATCCAGGACAGGTGAGTCAGGGAGCATTGCCGGTTGCCGTCCAAATAAAGCGTTGCACGGAGACACCTCGTCGTAGAAAATGAACGCGCCGGCGGCAAACAAGGCCTCATGCAGTAGTCGTGTAAAAACAAGAGGTATGTCTAACCTGTTGAGTTCAGCTTCCATGACATGAAGTAGGTGCCGCAATATGCCATTTCTGGCTTCAATCGTCGTAGCGCGTTGTCCACGCGCACGTATCCTTAGTTCAGCGCCCTTTGCCTTAAGAGCTGCTTTCGCAGTGTCGTTGTTGAGGGCGCCCTCTCCATCAGAGCAGAGTACCTTGGCAGGTCCAAACTGCATCCAGCACTGATGGTATGCATCCAAGGTGCTGGTCATCGTCTTGTCTGGTACCTCCGTTCCAGTAGCATATCGGATGTAACAATCGATGATGTGGAATATATTATGTTCTTGTTTGTAGAACATCAGGTCACATTCAACTTATTCGTTGAATTTGCCAGGCGGTGCAGTGGATGGCATCACCGTATGCCCAGGCTTGTCCACAGCCCTGCACTCCCGAGATGTGTCGCAGACACCTTTAACCAGGTTGAGTCTGTCGCTGTCAAGACCAATCTTGGTGAAGATGAGTCTCATCTTGGGTTCTTTCGCATGGAACCAACGCAAGTGTAGCTTCCGCAGCTCGCGTGTTACCACGCTTGGGTCATGGCTTCGTGGATTTGGTAGACTGATTTGTACGTCGAACCTTGACCGGTCTGGAACTCGTGGTCCTGCAGCAAGGTTACCCGCTGGCGGCGGTGGAGGTGCGTCTCCTCCTCGCTGTCGGCCACGTCTGACTCTGACCTGTGGCAGTCGGAGGTGGCCATCCGAACTCCCAGCTCCGCTCGAGGCAGATTGCCCTGTAGCAGGTTCAGCAGCATGTCTGCCTACTGCGATGTCGTGGCTGCTGGCGCCCGCCGTGGGCCCG